GTAACTCTAGCTGCTACAATAGCATGCTCATTTATTCAAGAATAATAAAACAAGAATATATAAACCAAAAGAAAAAAAAAGAACTTACTGCATCTCTAACTGCTGTAAAAGCTTCATCTGGTAGGTATGCATAAGTGGTACCACTGTCCAGTATAGTTCCATGTTTCCTATTAAACATCCTTGAATCTAACCGCAATGGTTTTTCCGCCACGTGTATTTCCTTCAGCTCAAGATTGTAATATGGACTGTTGCCATCCCGAGACTAGAGTAAATGTGGGAGATGTATCAAATGTATTTGTATGGCAAATCCATACAACTGAAATTGCCTAAATTTTAGTGGTTAATCATACCTACGGTTAGGATCTGAATATGAAAATATCATATCTGGAGGAGGAGAAATTCCACCAAGGATCATTGCGCCTCCACCAAAATTCATCCCGCCATAACATAAAGAAAATGAATCATTAATGGCACCCTTTCCAACAAGCTGATCCATAATACTCAAGCGACCACGGCCTAACCCCATTATGCCATCAGCATGTTGAGTAAAAAGATCACCAGTTTCACTGTTTTCACAACCAAAAACAGCTCGCTGAGGCTTAAGTGAGCTCTCCTTGCCAAATGATATTATGTCCTCACCAAGTACCCCACTACTCGAGCTCATTTCAGCATACTGCCTCTCATAAACACACTGCTTTTTTTGTTCATCACAAGTACAATCAATATTACACTTCACTGGTTCATATGTTGTTGATTTATCTGGCTGAAACCTTGGGTCCTGAAAATCAGTCAAAGATAAGTTTAATTAGAACTACAGACGAACCTGTCATTCTCCAGGAAATGAGAAGTTTTTAAAACTCGAGAGGCAGTATGCATACTTATATAAAGGAAAACAATCATATGCCAATCAAATTAAGTTAGAAAACAGTATATACAGTGAAACTATAGATAACTTGATATCACCTGCAATAAAGAAACTCGAAATATCAGCCATCATGTTAACTACTTATCGAACAGAAATATAAAATGCAACTAGATATAGTTTATTTCCTTCAGGCATGCATAGTTATACATTGGACATAAAACAAGAATGCACCTCACATCTTTCAATCTAGAAAATGATCTCAATATTTGCTTCTTAACTAAATTGGCTAACCATGAAGTTCTCACAATAATAATTTGGAAGCTAGTTTACAATGAAAGAGGCCCGATGCATGCCTGGTCTCTGGTTATCCTTTTATTAAGAAAAGCTTAATGACACCTTCATATCACATCCTTGTTGTAATTTAACTTTTATCCGCACTAATAAAGACTATCAGTTTGATGCTAATCCTGAGACCTCCTATTACCTGACCTCCTATTACCTTCTGACTTTACTGGCAAAGCTCTGCCTCATGCCCTTTCGTAATTATTTTAGGGTTAATTGCGAACATGCCCCCTGTAGTATCACCCAATAGCAAAAAGACTCCTATAGTTCTATTTGCTGCGAATAGCCCCTTATATTATTGGCCCAGTGCGGATTCACCCGCTTAGTGAAAATTTTCAACTCTTATAAAAAAAAGATAGCAATTGAGGGCCCATCATCAAAAATAGAACAATAGGGGTCTAGCGCCTCTTTAAACCTTTTAAACGATTTTTAGAGTCAAACATTCAGCGAGTCTATTCGCAAAAATAGAACTATAAGGGGTATATTTGTAATTGGGTGATACTACAGGGGACATGTTCGTAATTAACCCAATATTTTAAGGGTTTTTTAGATATATATCACCCAAATCATAGGTTTTTTCAAATTTACCCCCAAATAATTATAGTTTCAAAAGCACCCCTTTAATTGTATTTTCTCTCAAATATACCCTCACCTTAGACTATGTTATTTTAACAATGTTTGTTTTAAATTTGCCCTTCTACCCCCTAAATATAGTGATGCAGGGGAGAGACTAATTCATTGTCTGTTGTTTATCCCCTTTCTTGCGTTCTCTAGTGTTCAGTCAATGTGCTCTTTTTCCCTCCAAAGTCCTATGTGGCAAACTCTCATCTAAATTGGACGCTCACATTGTAAATTGTTAAGCAATTATTTCCTCATAATTATTCTCACTCTCTCTAGTGACTTCTTTCTTATTTGATGCACAACGAAAGAAAACTATGCATAATATCATCTATGGAAAGATTTTGGTGCCCCATGTAATCGCACAAGATCTACAATGATCAATCTTTATAGATTGCTAGCAAACCACTGCGTACTTATGTCATCCATTCCTGAGAATGGAGAAGGCCGATTGAGGTTGCTAATCATATGCTGAGGGTGTCTATGATTGCTTCTAACTTATTAGGAATGAAGTTCATCTTGTAGATTCCAACCAAACCTTTTCTTTTCCATATATGTAATAATTATCCAAATGTTTTATGCAAGGTTTTAAATATCGTTCGACATGTCCGACATGTCGGCCGACATGTCGGTTTGAGGGCTTGAGCGACACGATATGAGCGTTTTCAACTCGTATGTCGGTTTTCAGGACCAAATCGGTAATTTCGGGGCCATATCGGGCATATTGGCTGATTTTTCAAGGCATTTTTCAGCCTTAAAAAATCGGCCGATATGGTTCTTTTTTAAGATCTGTTTTTTATTATTGAGTTTGAGTTTAGTGATAAAAACTCAATCATGTTTGACTCATTCTCATGTTTAAGGATTTCTTATGAACCCGATAGAAAGAAAAGAGAAAAATTAGGGCTACAGCGTACTTGGGAACCGATCACTCCTTTTGTGAACGACGACGCCCTTCCCCACCTCCATCTCGACCCCCGTCGTCCATCTCCGGTTACGCCCCGAAGTCCGAATCCCAACCGAATCCGAGGACGGCAGGGTATCCCGTCGTCGGGATGAAGAGAAAAGGGTGGTCGGTGACTCATCCGAAGGACCCCGAGCAGATGAAGAAGAAGAAGAGCACTGACACTGCCTCCCTGTGACGTCTCGTCGCTAAGACTGCCTCACTACGACGTCGGAATCCACCTATCACCGGCGCCGCCTTTAGAATTTATAAAGTATGTTTATATTGAATTTAGGAATGCTTAGATTACATTTAGAACATGATATTATACATATGCGTACCATCCGATATGGCAATCCGATATTTAGTCCAGTCCCCCGATATATACCCGATTTTCGCTATCCGGCATGAATTTTAACTGTCCGACATGACTCCGACATCCAACATTTAAAACCTTGGTTTTATGAGTATAATATATGTGTATTCTCGTATACTCTTTATTTGATTTGTTAGATTTTTCTACCCTTTCATTGTATTTATATGTGCAATCTTGAAGCATTTTTTCCAAGGACTTAGGAAATGTGACTGGAACAGAGGATAGAGCGGCAGTTCTTGGAGTAAGAAGAAAAGAGGGAGAGAGAGTAATTAATTAATCTTTTAGTTATAATTAATTCTATCAAGGATGGAACTGACATTTCATTGATTTAATAGAATATTCCAATAGGATGATACTCTAGAATTTAAGGCAAAGGGTAAGTTTAACGAATGATTACAGATTGAGGGGAAAACTTAGAATTATTATAATTTAGGGGGCAAAGTTAAAAATACATATAATTTGGAGGGTATATATTGAAAAAAAAACTCTTATTTAACAACCATATAATTGAGAATTAATCACTATATTTATCAATAAGTAGCTTTGTCCACTATTTTATATCAATCAATAGCTAGAAAGTATTTTCTTAATTTTTCATCTACTTTTCCCTTCTTCTGTCCCATTCATATCTCTCTTCTTGAAGTTGCTCTTCGTATGCAGTTTGTTCAACAACAAAGAACAACTTATAATCCAAGAATATTATAACTAAGTTCACCTCAAGAAAAGATAGGGAAGAAAACAAAGCCAATAATGTTTTAGAATGAAGTGGACATAAAAAACATATTAATTGATAATAACTATCAAATATGAGTTTTTAATGCATCAACAAGTAATTTAAGATACATCTTAAACTCCCTACCATTGTACCGAAACTATGAAGCTATCTTATGGCCTTTTATGAGCCAAATTTGACTCACACAACGGTGTTAATTTTTTACAATGCACTTTAAATTCATGATCAGTGGGAATTGAACCTTGATTGCTTTGATACAATCTTAAAAGGTCTTGCCTACACCTAAACTTTGAAGTTGTGGTGAAAGTTGAGGGTTATAATTTTATACTCTAACAACTTGACATTAGTTTTCACCGCTTTTTATGTTATATCCTTAAATTTATATAATTTGGTAGTTATATCAAGCCACAACCATGGCCACCATGATCTTTGAAATATATGAATTAAAATATTATGATACTCAAAATATTCATTGGAGTATACAATGAGAATTCTTTCTTGAATGTGTGAAAATGAACCATTAAAACATATACATTGGATGATATATTATCATATTCTAGATGTTAACAGACATGTCAGATTCAAGACCTAACCGCTTAGGCCTAGGCGGGTGCCTAGACCATTTTTTAACAAAAAATGGTTATGTAATAAATTGATTTGTTTATTGAGTTGATAAACCAATTATGAAATTGTCACTAGCTTTACATGATTTTTTCCATGTTTTCTCTTTATAAGTTTTTATTCAAAAAAATTAGAACATGCATATCTAGTTAGCGCTTTAACACTCGATATTATAAAATATCTCCAATATATGCACTGAATGTGGTCTCAATATCCAAACACTAAAAACACTAAATATGAATAATGTGTTATATATCACTAGGCAAAATCTCCATAAAAGATTATCTAGGTGGGATTACAAAATTACTTGCTATAAGGAACAAAATTCCTCAAATTATTGTTTTTAGTTTAATCATTGAGAAATATAATTTAGAAACTATAAATAGAATCGTGTATCACACTGTAAAAGCATTCAAAAAAACCCTGAAGTTTACTGTGTAAAAGCATGCAAAAAACTCTTGAGATTTATGATGAAAGATGATCCAAAAATCTACCTCAAATTAATAGTTTCTTTTGTCTACCTTCTCCTAAGGTAACAGACGACTCTTAAATGCACATTGCTAGGAAAGTCCTCTGATTGAATTCTCACTCCAATAGTTTCCACCTCTTGTCTATTAGATTCTTCAGATCCTTTAATTAATATTTTGCTTTCTACCACATGATTTCATCCTCTTTACATTCTCATTTCTTCTCATGACTGTTTTCATCCTCCACAAAATCTTAATAGTATCTACAATGAGACAGTCTTTTAATTTTCAACCTCTCAAGATGACTTTTGGTTTCTTTTATATATGATAAAATAACTCCATCCAATTTACACAGGTGTGATTTTGATACTATATGGTATCATTTGTTAATAACTTGGAAAATCTCTCTTTGTTGTGGGATTGAAGCTACAAGTGTTTCTCGGTCGATGATCTACAACTTCCATTCCATGTAATACTATGAAGATGCCTACCTAATTAGGACTTCTAGAGTTTCTGGCTAAAATAAAAAAGAATTTACTTTTCTATCATATCTAGTCATTCCATTGAAATATGATGTCAAATACATGTAGTCTCATTCTTGAAGCAGTTGGGCAACATCAAATTACTTCTAACATTAATAGCCAAAACAAGTAGATAGTTTCTAGATTATTTTTTCACTTCTTCAACTCCATATAATTTATTTAGACGTGGCCATATGATGACTTGATCATTAAATTGATCTCCTTATACACTAAAATGAGTTGATTGTAATCAACTAATACCTATTGACATTCCTTTCGATAATTTTAAAGAGCTCATAATGTAACTTAATAGTTCCTTTATCTTTTTGGAACTATAATATATATACAAAATGATTTTTATTTCTAACTTATACCTATTTGTGACCATAATTAAACAAAACTCAAAGAAATGATCATCCAGCAAGGAGCTTCATCAACAATATAGAAGACCCCTGCTGGAAAATAAAGGAAGATAAGGAAGAAAAAGAAAGAGAGAACTTCTTCAAGTGTTGTATAATTCTTACAAACTTCTTGCTACTATTCACAAAAGTGGGAAATAGTGTTTTCAATGCGCGAGGCGCAATGCGGGGCACAAAGTCAGTTTAAGCGCACATGCGCAAGGCGCAATGCGATGTGCGCGCCCGAGCAAAGCGAGACGCATTCCAGGATTGGTCACATATTGATAATGCCAACTACAATGGGATTTTATTGTTTACAGAAGGCGTTCATTAATGAAAATGCAGACTAGATTGTTTTTGTAATTTTTAGATGAGGCAGTCTATTATTTGAATGCAATCTACAATGCAATTTCATTATATAGGTGTCGAAAAAAATGACTATTTTCTGAGCCTATATATTATCATTTATTTTTATATATTTTTATTTATATTGTCTCGGGTTAGTTTATGACCGTTTATAGCCGTTGGAGTATAAATTTGAATAGTTATGATTACCTCAATTGAATACAATTGTATTTATTTTTATGTGGGAGGTAAGCTCAACAAAGGTTCTTATATTCACCAATCATTATTTTGATAATCCTAAATTTTGTTTGCTACAACTATAGATTTCAAATTCTAAAATTTGTAATGATACAATTTGAGTTTGAAACAAAAAAAAATATTACAAATTATAGTATTACATATCCCAAAATATTGATGAAACAAACAACACTTTAGAAATCCCAACCCATGTTAAAAAAACCTATGATTTTAAATCCCATGGTGAAATCCATATCCTAAAATTATAGGATTTAAAACAAATACCCCCTAAGTGAAATTCTTTAGAATTAGCTTGATTTGCTTCATCAGGTCAGCTGTTATCATTAGAAGTCACTTTAAAATCTACTTAAATTTATTGTCTATCGTCATAAAAATCTCAATAACTGATCGTATTTATTTATAATTACGATATAAATTCCCAAATTAAATGAATATTTCATTATAAAAATAAAAATTCTTGCCTGATGATTCCCGCACTGTTCACACGAAGAACAAGGAACGTAGGTCACCGTACTCCCGGAGTCGACAATCAGCGCGAATTCCTGAGGCGGCGTCCCAATATAAAGCCTCGTCGTGTAATACCTAAAAGAAAAAGCAAATAAAGCAAAATATGGACGATTAAAGAATCAGATGCCTTAGATCGGGGTGAATCGGGCGGTGAGGTTACCCGTTGGTGAGGAGATCGTCGTAGAGCCTCATCCGAGCGTAGGGAGTCAACGCGTCGTCGTCTCTCGAGAGGTGGCGCCTCTGCAGATGGTTGATCTCGACGGAGTTGAGAGAGGAGTTGACCGAGGTGAGGGAGAGAGGGAGGACCACCGGCGAGGGTTCGCTCACCGCTCCAGCGTGGAGGAGGAGGAGGAGGAGGAGCATCG